AAAGACAACAACTACAACAACAATAATAATAATGGTAATGATGATGATAATAATAACAATAATAATAATAATAATAATAATAATAATAATGATAATGATAATAACAATAATAATAATAATAATGATAATGATAATAATAAAAAAAATAATAATTAATAATATTAATAATAATAATAATAATAGAAACGATATTCTAATTAATTTCGCGCTTCAAATTTGTGACATTGTTGGTTGCCATCTTGACAACGGCCACGTAGCATGAACAATCGTATAATTTCAAATATTTTGTTTACTAATTTCAATGAACCTTTGCGTTTTTATTTCGTTACTTTTATTTTATTTTAATATATTAAAAAATACAACTAATTAACTATTAATAGAATTTATTTAAAATATATATTGCACTGATGATGACTTTACGTCGAAATAGATCTATATGCATAACTTTAATAATAATATAAAAAATAAACGATTATAAAAATGGGATCTTGCTTGATTAATTTTAACAATTAAAATCATAAACGATTATAAAATGGATTTCAACATTTTGAATAGACTTAATTGTGAAGAACTAGTTCAAAATATTAGAAAATCAACCATAAAACTTGTTAATGCTGAATCGTCGGTGGATTTTTTGAACAACTGTATAGAACTTGGTCTTCTTCCTAATATATATATATATAAATAATATTATTTGTTATATATACAATTATTTTTCCGATACAAAATAGAAGCAAATCGTTCCAGCAAAGAAGTAAAAAAGACTGAAGAACTACTCAGTTTCAAGTTAAAATTTCCGCATTTCAATCCTCTAAAAAATATCATTTAAAGGGAATGACACAATAACAATAGTTTTGATCGCTACAATTACACAAGAGCTGTTCAACACACTGTTTAATATTCATATTATAAATATAAATGAAATATATATATATATATATATATATATATATATATATTGGGTTTAGACTATCATAATTACAATTATTTATAAAGATCACTGCGTTTTCAGCAATATTCAACTTGTAGTTGAGTTTCTCAATTTTTCTAACGAGACTTTTATCATCTTGATGAAGTTTATTAAAGTTATTTTGAGTTTATGTTATCATAAATACAATTATTTATCAAGATCACTGGGTTTTCGGCATTATTCAACTTGTAGTTGAGTTTCAATTTTGGGTTTAGACTATCATAAATACAATTATTTATAAAGATTACTGCGTTTTCGGCACTAATCTTAATAAACTTCATCAAGATGATAAAAGTCTCGTTAGAAAAATTGAGAAACTCAACTACAGTTATCCTAACTGCACTTAAAACTGCCTTATCATCATCCTTACGGCCTGCATGTTCTGCCAAACACCCTGGACAAAGAGGCCCATGGTGTCCTTCCCGAACATGTCGACGTTAACGTAGTATCGCATCCAGCCAGCCGAAGAATATTTCGCAGAGTAGGAGTTGTAGGAATGTTCATTGTCAAAAGTGTTGAATGGCTGGTTGTTCTGAATGTAGAAATTCGACGTGTCGGAACGACTCAATATATCGAATCCGGAATCTCCGAAATATCCGGTTAGTCGGAGTGTGTACCTAATTGTATTATATTGAAAATGCGGCAACGGTGCGTACTTCTTTGAAAAATACAATTACACAACACTAACGAATGAATTCCATAATCAGGAATATTTAAAATAAGTTTACTGGTTAGCTTCGTCCTCCAGGTAGAATGTCTTCCATTCATCACACAGCCAGGAAGAACCAACGAAGTATTCAATCCTCAGGCTGTACGGTCTGCCCGCCTGCTTAGCTGCGTACGTTAACTGGTGGATCTGAGCGGCGAAATATCAACTATAATCATCGGTAACAATGGTTCATGTATTAGAAAAAAAACCTAATTTGTATCAATGAATGTGTAAGGATTGTGACAGCAACAAAGATCTTACCGTTAGATATTACCATAACTGAAAATTATTCAATATATTCCATCTAAAACCAAGCACTTTGCTTTGTATAAACTACATTATTTACACACACAAACACATACACAAACATATATACAAACACACACGCACATACACACACACACGCACGCGCGCACGCACACACACTAACATTTTCAAGTCCAATCCAATAATTGTAGCGAAAGCTTCCAAATCCGGCTTTGTATGAAGCCCAATTCTGATAGAAATCGTACAGTCTATTTTCACGCAGCATGATAACCAGCCAGTCGTAGATGAAGTAGCTTAAGTAGGGACCGACCTGGTTCGGTATGACCACGTTTGATGTACGGTTGGTTCCGGTGACATCTGGCCGAAGCCCGAAGGTGGTGTTTTATGGTTTTGAGGAGATGTTCCCAAATGCTCTGTTTCTATTTTTTTATAAAACTGAAATTTTTTTGTCATTATTATCCTCTAAATCAGCATCAATTTCATCATTATCTGAATCAACTTCGTCATTTCAACATCTTTCTACCTTTATTATCATTATTATCACCTCTTCCATTATCACCATCACCATTATAACCACAATAACATTATCACCATCATGGTAATCACCACCCCCATCATCATCATCATCATCAAAAAATACTGCTTGGGTCAGAGCAAATGGCCAACAGTCTGCTATAATTCAGACACAGAGTTACTGTGCAGGGGTTAGGAGTCTGCAACGCGCTGGAGCTGGAGCAGTTGTAGAACATCATTCCGCCAAACGTGAATGGAAATATGCAGCTTTTCACGCTTATTACCGCGAGGTTTTTTTCTGCAACACATTTAAAATAAATGATAACTATGAAATCGCGTGTAAAAATCGGCCAACTAAGATGGTTGTGCCATTAGGGTACCCATTCTTATTTTGCAGTAACCGGATTTAAACGCCATGTGATATCAAACTGATTATATCTTCCTTAAATGTCAGACTGTGCGATACGTTTGATTCATATTACGCTCGTTGAAGAATGCACTTGTGTAATGAGTAATGGTTATAAAAAAATTAAACATATAAATAATGATTTCAATTGAGAAAATAATCATCGAAGTCAAAAAATTGTTTCAAAATTCAGAACAAAACGAATTGATTAAAATGAAAAAATAACCGAAAATGTTGAAAGGTACAAAAGCATCAAAATTTTTAATTATTGGCAAAATTTAACCAAAGTGTTGGAATCGGGTTAAAAACCATGGGTGGGCAAACTATGGCTCGCGGGCCGCCGCAAAGCTATTTTATGCGGCCCGCCCTGCCTTGTTTGCCAAGAAAGGGTCGTCAGCCAGACATTATGACCAAAAAAGGAGCTAAAAATCTTAAAAAATTCTTTTCCGGGTCGAATAAATTTGCTATTCAAGTACATATGCGGCTCTTCAAAGGTAAAATAGTTCTCAATGCGGCCCTCAAAGCAAAAAGTTTGCCCACCCCTGGGTTAAACGAAAGCTATTATTAATGATAGAAACATCGGTTGAAAAAGATTTGACAAAACTGTTCACATTTTTTATCATAAAATAAAATTGATTCATAGAATTATCGAATTTTTTAAAATAGATTATTTTTCATCATGCCCGGCGGCACACATTTCTTCAACGATGAATAATCATCCCTCTATTTTTTCGTCAAAATGTTGGTTTGCAAATAGAAAAGAAAAAAATTGACAATAAATTAATTTAATGAAATTTTAAATTTAAAACAACCCTTTATAGTGTACTGACCTTATAAAGAGTGCATTTATCGATGAGGGCTGTGTCGAAACATTGGTATTCACTTGAATACAACTCGCAAGTATTCGAACCGTTTGTAGTCGCTTTCGCTTTAAAATTAAAGTAAGCACATGAAGACCGTTTGTAGCTGGGACTTGATTCGATATTCGTAAAATTAAACTGGGTACATTGCTTGCCGCAGTCGATTAAGTTCCGAACTTTCGGGGTCAAAATTGTTCGCAGGTTTGTAGCGAAATTGTCGGTACAACAAACCGGCTTATGTGAACTCGTTACGGCTGCCCTGTGACGAGTAGTGATAAAAATGATTAAAAACACGATTAAAAATGATAAAAGATATTATAATTGAGATTGATTAAATATAATTAATTAATTAACTAGTTAATTATTTAAATTAATTAACTGGTTAATTATTTAAATTAATTAACTGGTCAATTATTTAAATTAATGTATGAACTCTACCAAATTGTTGTTGGCATTAATCATATTAAAGTCTGTCTTTTCAATTTTAATTTTTTTTTCTTACTAGAATTTTCTGGAGAATTCTTTCTAGTAAGGAAAATTGAAAAGACAAACTTTAAATTGATTAACGCCAACAATTCGATAGAATTCATTCCATACTGATATAAATATATATATATATATATATATATATATATATATACTCACACATGTATATATACACAATTACACATATAAGTATATAAATAAATATTTTATATATAATAAAAATACACGTATGAGGCAATGAAAAAACAATAAATAAAAAAACTATTGTTTCTCTGTCTCAGCGAACAATTGTAAGTTTATGGGAGACTCTGACAGAAGAGCATTTTCTGACAATTTCTAAAATATAGTAAGCATTAAACCTAATTACAAAATAGAAATATTGTGAAATGTGACATCCCATGTCTCAATAAGCTGCCCTATGTCCACAAATATATATATATATATATATATATATATATATAATATACATATTCATATTATATATATATACACACAGATATATATATACATATATCTAATGAATGTATGTGCATATATGCATACACAGAAATAAACTGGCAAACACACATGCAGTTTTATGCAAACGCACACACACACACACACACACACATCATACGTACTACACACACACACACATCATACGTACTACACACACACACACACACACACACACACACACACACACACACACACACACACACACACACACGTACCTACTACATACATACAAACAAACAAACACACAAACACGTGACACAGATTCATCCATGATTAAAAAAAAATAGAAAAAAAATACTTTTTAGTCTATGTCCAAATGTCCAAATTTGGCAGTGAAATTTAATATATGGAAGACCGATTTCATGATGAATGGCAAGCTAAGAACAATGTTGTACAGCGTTAATTAAAAGTAGGCACGATAACTATAGATGCCACGCATGGCCGAGTGATAATAAAAGAAAGTAATGATTGAAAAGAATTCCTTTGAACATGGATGCGAAAACAACTTTTTTCACAGACGACACAAAGGCATTTGTCGATGGAAACTAACTTTCAGGATTTTTTTTTCTATTTTTAACTTTTTTTTCTAAATTTTCAAGTAGTTTCTTAAACGATCAGGAAATATGCCCTTAGTAAGTCTCTATTTTCTACCCCTAGAGTCTTAGACTTATATCTCTTGCCCTTAACACATTTAGTAACTGCTCTAATTTCTCTGCCAAAGAAGAATGTGATAAAAGATACATTTCCTTTTGAATTTCGCTGTCAAAGAAGAGTGTGATTACAGATACATTTCATTTTGAAATCGCACAGAAAAATTGTATAGTAGGGGGGACATGAAACCTGGATCCACCATCCGGATTCTGATATCGCCGATCTCAAATTTTTGAATCACCCCCGCCCCATTCACAGTATATCTAGGTGTTTAAGACTTCAAGTAGCAGTTAGTGTTTCATCATTTTTTTTCTGGTTATATATTTAAAAATAGTTATGTGATTTAAAATGAATGAATGAATGAAAATCAAAAAAATTCTAGATCGGAGTTAATTTTTTGAGACTTTAACCTCATTTGATGACATTGTTGAAAATGAGTTGACCAAGGGATTTTTTGATCTGCCTTGGGTTGCATCAAAGATTTTAGCCTTGCCATAGTATATTTGACGCTTGAGGCAACTTGATTTAAAGTGACCGATTTCAAAAATGGATGAAATTTTCATCTCATTTAAAACATAATTAGATGAATACTTACCTAAAGATGTATTTCGTACTATTTTTTTGGGCAATGAAAATTTTTACCAGAAAGGTTTCAACAGTATTGCTCTAGACTAGGTTACAATAATATGAATGTGGAAATATTAGGGCGTAATAAAGGAGATGAGAGGCATAGGATTTTAATTAATAGTTCAACGACGTGTTCTTTGAAATGTATTCTCGCCTCTCAGATTTATTACGTGCTTCTAACTAGAGACCGACCGAAATTCGGTTTCGGTTTCGGCGCCGAAACTGCCAATTTTTCTAGTTTCGGCCGTTTTTCGGTTTCGGCCGAATGTTATATTTCAGTTTCGGCCGTTTTTCGGTTTCGGCCGAATGTTATATTTCAGTTTCGGCCGTTTTTCGGTTTCGGCCGAAACTAAATCATATTTGCCGAAAAAAACCGAAAATATTTTTTTTTCAAAAATATTTGAGTAAATTACATGAAAGTGATAAATGTCTTCTAAGGAAAACTGAACTACAAGTGGATTATTGCTGAAAATGTTTGATATTCTTAAATAACTATATAAAACTACATCATTTATATATTACCACCTATGTATATATATATATATATATATATATATATTATACTTAAAATTGCAAAGATTTGCATATAGACAAAGAAAAGCTTTCAATATCATCATACAACATAACGCAATTATAAATCATCACACTCATATATATATAAAAGTTATATAAATGATGTTCTATTAAAATTTTCAATATTCGGTTTCGGTTTCGGCCGAAAATATTTTTTTAGTTTCGGTTTTTTTCGGTTTCGGCCGAAACCTATTTTTTAGATTCGGCCTTATTTCGGTTTCGGCCGAAACTGAAATTTCAATTTCGGCTTTGTTTCGGTTTCGGCCGAAAGAAAAAAAACAGTTTCGGTCGGTCTCTACTTCTAACACATCCTTGAGGCTATCTTTGTGAGGAGAGAGATGGCCCGAAGAGATCTGAAAAGAGTCAGCGGCATAGATAGACGGATGTTCGAGAAACGTTTTATATATATATATATATATATATATATATATATATATATATATATATATATATATATATAACAAAATACATACATAATTGATTGAATACTTTTATGGATTTCAACATTTTGAATAGACTTAATTGTAAAGAACTAGTTCAAAATATTAGAAAATCACCCATAAAACTTGTTAATGCTGAATCGTCGGTGGATTTTTTGAACAACTATATATATATATATATATATATATATATATATATATATATATATATATATATATATGTATATATGAATAGACACTGAGAAACATGCTTTTGAGAAACTCTTAAATTAGCGCATTATAAACTTTCTGTAATAATAATAATAATAATAATAATAAGAACTCTTTTATTCAAAGAACGGTAATAAATAATTAAAACTATGAAATGGTAATTAATGAAATGCCATTATAAAAGCCACTGCGCTCAATTCAAGATAAAAGTACAGAGCGGTGAAATATATTCAAATTTATATCATTAATAATAATAACAATAACAATAATAAAAATAATAATTTGATGTTGATACACAATTTGTTTTACTAAAAAATACTGCAGCGTGGAAAAACAATTTCGAAGAATCAAATAAGAAATTGAAGGGAATACCATTCTGAAAATTTGATTGAATTTATATCAGTAGTGCCTTTGCGTCTGCCTAGCCTCTGTGTTTGTTTATCAGAGTCTGTATGTACATGTTTGTTACTTTGTGTATGTACGTGTATGTGTGTGTGTGTTTATTACTGTATGAGTGTATGTGTGTGTGTGTTTATTTATCTGTGTGTTTGTGTGTGTATCATGTTTATCGGTGTGTGTTTGTGTGTGTATTTATTAGAGTGTGTTGTGAGTATGTGTGTGTGTGTGTATGTGTTCATCAGAGTATATATATATATATATATATGTGTGTGTGTGTGTGTGTGTGTATGTGTAGGGACCCAGTGTATATATATATATATATATATATATATATATATATATATATATATATATATCTGTGTGTGTATATATATATATATATATATATATGTATATATATATATATATATGTGTGTGTGTGTGTGTGTGTGCATTTTAATATAAAATCTCATGATAAAATAATCAACACTTCACTGGAAAACCTTGCCGTGACATTTATAAGAATTTTATCGACTTATTCAAATTAGATAAAAAAATTTCATCGATTTATTTAAATTAAATAATATAAAACAACATTCTAAATATTATAATTATGACTTCTAGAACTACTGATACAACAACTACTACTACTACAGCTACTGCAAATACTGCCAGTAGTATTATTACTACTATCATCATCGTTATCGGCATCATTATCATTACCAGCTTGAAACCGACAAACTCGATAATCGCCGCAATACCGAATTTTGCGAAGCCGGTTCAATGTCACAGTTGCAGTCGATGCCAGAAACCGTATGTCCCGAATATCGGTAAGAAATGTCTCGGAAGTACTTGCTATATCGATACAATTTTCACAAGAGGTTGTTAGTTATTTTACATTAATCAATCAATCCGTCAGTCAATCATTCATTCATTCACCCATTTATTTATTTAATCATTTATTCGTTCGTTCGTTCATTCATTCATTCATTCATTGATTCATTCATTCATTCATTTATTCATTCATCCATCCATTCATTCATTCACTCATTCATTCATTCATCCATTCATCCATCCATCTATCCATTCATTCGCTCATTCATTCATTCATTCATTCACTCATTCATTCATTCATTCATTCACTCATTCATTCATTCATTCATCCATTCATTCTTCCATCCATCTATCCATCTATCCATTCATTCGATCATTCATTCATTCATCCATTTATCCATCCATCCATCCATCCATCCATTTATCCATCCATCCATCCATCCATTCATTCATTCATTCATTCATCCCTCCATCCATCCATTTATTCATTCATCCACAAGATGGTTCGACCGTCGCAAGAGGCTGCCTCAGTAACGTCTACAAGAACGGTTGCTTCAGCATCGAAACCAGGCGCGTGTGCCTCTGCTATAAGGAGCTCTGCAATAAGTGAAAACCGAATAAAATCGTATCGAATCGAATCGGACCGATTATTATCGAGTATAAATTATTAATTGAACATCTCGAATAATATCGATCAATTGAGTTTATTTGTCTTTCAATATTGAAAAAAAAACTGCTGAACGGTTTAGGAGAGCTATCAAAGTCAGAATCACTCTGGAAAATTATCAAGTGTTGTTTAGTTTGTCTTTATCTTGAAATGATAGTACCGTAAACCAGAATTTTTCAACCAGAGCTCCGCGGAACCCCAGCAAGGGTCAGCCAGGGTTCCGCGAGTTGATGAAAAAAATTTTTTGTTAAAAAAATTAAGGCAAAACCGACCAGGACCACACATCAGGCCTAACTGCACCATGCTATGCGTGCCCACTCTGCGGTTATTAGTTTTTTCATTTGTTTACTAAAATACTTTTTCCGTTTCCGTTGTTAAACCGTAAGCCGTCGTGCGCATTAACTTTCAATGTAGTTAAATCTAAATTATTTTCACCCATAACATGGACCGATTTATTAAAACCGAAAGCTAGATGAAGCTGAAGTTAATGAACAATCGCCTGACGTGGCATCCGTATCTAAAGAGCCGACTGCAGAAAATTGATACGTCGATTCTCGTCGTAATAATGCAGTCGATAATCGTCAGTACAGTAAGGCAGAACTCAACGTGGATACGTTTTTGTTGTTGGTTGTAACTTCTGTTATAAATGTGCAAGTTTAGATTTTCGGCTTTTTGTCTGCGGAAGAAGAACTTCGCGTCTGTCTATCCAAAACTCGGCCAAGAATACAGCTGCTGTGCAGAATGCACCAAGCACAATGTTCACACTGACATTTTTCCGTACTCGACTTAACTGTAAGACTTGTAAATAGGACTGTAAAACTTGTAAATACTGCTGATTAATGTTAGCTAGCATAATCAGTGATCTTTACTTGTGTGAAAATCGCACGGTTAGTAGACTAGTTTTCTGAGGTTTACGAAGAAAGACATGCAGGCATGAAATGGACTATAACAGATTGTTGACTTTGAAGTCAAAATGCTCACCAACAGTCCAACTCACCTGCGAGCGTTTTTAAAGGTTAAAGGTCAATTACACTCTTCCAGTTGGTTGCACGCTTTGAAGGGACATGAACGGCACTGGTGCAGGTTCCGCCAGAACTCTGACGACACCAAAGGGTTTCCATGAAGAAAAAAGGTTGAAAAACACTGCCGTAAACTGTAAAATTATTTTTTTACAGATTTCATAACAGAAATATTCTCATAAATTTTTTTTCTATAATGATTGAGGTTACAACGAAAACAGTTTTAAATATTATTTACTCGCCTGGTTCTGTATCAACTGCTTGATACAGATGCCTGTTGTAATAACTACTCAATATTTAAAATTGTAATTAACATTTAAAGTATGGCAACTGTATTTTCTAAAACTAATGATTTAATATTTCAAATGTTGGGTTTTCGTAGAACTGTAATGTGTCGTCTAATCGTCTAATTAGCAGCAGTATCCCGTAATTAATAAAAACATTAAAAATGTTTCAGCAAAGTCATTTAAAATAATTTTTAAGAAAACCGATTATCCAAAAATTACTGGTGACCCCATGCTTTGGCCACAACATTGGCTACAGTATGTATCCTATTTTTAATATATTCAGATAAGTTTTCATTTCATCTGAAACTGGAAAATGAAACAAAGAGAATTAACTCGCTGCGTTTTTTCATGGAGTTCGTGAAATTTAGTAAATTATTAAAAAATTATGTTTGTTTTGGCTACAAACAAAAAAAAAGTTGAATTGTTTAATTCTTTTTTTTAATAAATTAATACCAACAGTAAATAAGTGTATTCAAAGATTCCAAACATTTTCTAATGCCTAAATGAATACAGCTGCAACATAACATAAACACACACCACACACACACCACACACGCATACATACATACACATGTAGGGAAGACCGAGGCTTTATGAACCACGGGTTAGTTGAACCAGTTGGGTAAAAATTCTTATTTATAACAAATACCTGTGGGCGTTTTATAATTATAACTATTAATGCCTAGTCAACTAGCCAAGTTAATCTGTCTTGTTTACGTTTGCAAATTGTCAAGTAAATGTCGCTTATGTGATTTTGCAGTTTTCGAGTAATTTTCATTAGCTGAAGTAATTGTTCTTTAAAATGCAATTGCAAAAGAGTAAATAATTTTAGGGCACATGTTTTTGTAGTGTTTTTATCGAGTAAAACAGCAGCAGATAAAATTAGTGTCTGTGCCTTAATGCGACACTTTAAATATTGTAAAAAACACAACAATGCTCAGAATTCTGCATTGTTAACTTTCAGTGTTGATTACATTCAGCCAAGAAATGTGTCTCTACTGCTTGACAAAAAACCTGAGGCTGATTGGTTTTCTAAATTCATGAAGGCACTTACATCTCTCAGCCAGAACATCTGAGACGATATCTCTTGCTCAGGCAATAAACTTCAATCTACATTTTTGATAACTTATCACCAGTTCATAAATGTTATATGTTTGGACCAGAGGCTATCTACAACAATGATTAAACAAGAATTAAATACCACGGTGGTGCATCGTCCAAGTAGAAATGTTGTCAGAAAGGTGTGAAACAAGTTGGTGCTATTGTTTCACAAGAACGTGATCCATGAGTCACTGGCTGTTATCGTTAATGTTAATTAATAGAATTTTTCATCTGAAGATATTTCTTTATGACAATAAAATTTCTTTGCAAGTTATTAAATACTGGCTCAACCTGCTCCGGTGTTTTGGTGTAACATGCCGCGTGAAGGGGTAGGTCGAACCGCATAACTAGCTTGCAAATATACCATTCTATTGTCAAAAAACACACTAAAATTGAATATAATTTTTGTGATACGTAGTAGACATATTTTTACATAATAATAACTAATTTTAAAACGTTTTAATATAATAATAAAGATTTAATGAGTTAAACACTAAAATTTGGTTCGGTATGCTCCCGTCTCCCTATATATCTATACATTTCTAATGTAAATATACTATATATATGTATATATGATGTATATATGTTCAGTCAAGCTTCTGAGAATTTTTTTTTCTAAACTAACCATTATAAAATTCATTTTAAATAAAGTGTGATATATGTATACACACACACACACACACACGCACGCACACACACACACGCACACACACACATATATACTTAAAACCTTTACTAAGAAAATTCAATCGTTAATTCAATCGTTAATTCAATCGTTAATTCAATCGTTAATTCACAGTTTATAGTTGAATGTATTTAGACTTTTCGTTTTGAGGTTTTGTATAAATTGAAAAGTCGTGTTTTAACGGTTTTGGGCTCTATTTTTGATCTCAGTTTGCATCATTTTAGTTAATTTAGAAATTCACTGTTAACCTGACAACGACTCATTGGCAGATGGGAGCTTTTTATGTCATTGTCCTCGGACTTATGGCCATATCGTGCCAAAGTAACTTGAAAAAAATTTTTAATTTAAATAAATTTACCCTCATTATTATTATAGTTCTTTATTATTATTATTATTGTATTTAATTAATATATTATTTTTGATGTATTCGTCATTGCTTATATTATTAATATTTTAGCCATTTATTTGTTTCAACTTCGATCATGATTTATCAAACACATCCAGACACTTTCTTAGTAATTTATTATACATAATCTACAATTACTGGGTTTGAATGCAAGGTGATCCCCGCCTCACTTGCGTTGTTGACTTGATGACTCTGAAGCAAGTTCACGACCTTTTGAACTTCAGTTTGTTTCCGATGTCCTAATTTTTCGGGTTACGTAGACACCAGCCATAATCTTGTGCGGAATTTAAAATTGTATGAAATAATGAATCACTCTAATTCTTGTTTTTTCTTTCAAAAATTCTTAAATTGTGAGTTTAAAAACTCATCTAAAAGATCGGTGGCGGATCTAAGTAGGAGGGGGATGGGCGGCAAATTTTGGCCCTCCGCCAACGTTGTCCAGAGCCGACAGTGAACGAGAATATACTTTGTAAATCTATCATCACTGCGTACTGCGAAAACACACTTACATAACATAGCATACATGTACCCGTACATTCCTGTCAAACAACAACAAATAAACTAAAAGGTTTTCGTGTAACCATCGCTAGATTTAGGGGGGAACTCTAAAATAACTTGTGCCGACTGCAGTAAAGATATGACATATGGAGACCCTCTCCCCAAAGAATGTTTCATGGAATCGCCTACCAAAACATGCCAACTATCTTGCCAGTTGAAGTTGACGATAATCGTTGAAAATTTGAGTTAGATTAATTTTTATTTGGGATTTTAATGATTAAAAAGATATTTTTTAATGAGCAGTTGAATATTTAAAATTATTTTTAAAACAAACTGAACAAAAATGCTCTGAAAGCCCAATACATTCTTTTAGACATGCTGTGCAATTTTGGTCTCAGAGACGTGAACCGCACAACACGTAGACTAGGCTTAAAATTAAAATTATCAGCGGTGGAATAATCAGAAGATATGATTATCATAACTATATAATTACAGAGGGTGGAATGGTGAAGTTGAACAGAGGTTGCACACATGACCTCGATATTAGGACATGGATCCAATATGTTAAAGATTCGGAAGTTGTGGGTCTCATGGTTGGTGACACTGACAAAAGTAACTGTGGCCCTGCCCGAGAAATATTTCAAGGTAAGAAAATAGAGGGCAGAGGTAAGGATCTGCAGTCATTGTTCGACAGCTTTGTGATGAACTGGACCACATCTCGGTGCTTGTGAGAAAATGTTCGGCTGCTTGTCTGACTATGCTAAACTCAATTGATTTTGATATGTACAATTATTTACTTTATAGAGACGTAGATGTATGTTTGAACTAAAATTTAAATTGATGCAATTGGATTTTTACACACACACGCACGCACACACACAAATATATATATATATATATAAATATATATATATAATTTGGTATGAGGTTCTCAGATAAACATGTTCGGTTGAAGATATATATATATATATATATATATATATATATCATTAGGTATAAGGCCTAGTTATTCAGAGCAAACTTGAAACAAAACAAAAATTTGTTTTGTTTCAATAATTTTAAAAAAAATTGACTTTAGATATTTGTTGTTTCTTGGTTTCGGAATGAAATAAAATGTTGTGTTTCGGAATGAATTCACATAACAGTTACAAAGATCTAATATATAAACAAACTTCCTCAGTGAAAAATTTTAAAATAAATGAATTACAGTATGGCACACAAAATAACTGTTAAGAATCGTTCCAATAAAAAGAAAACTACAAAATGACCATATAAGTTTTTTCACCAATATATATTTATATTTACCGCTATTACTTCAAAGGATTTGGAGGGGAGTTCGGGAAGACTCTTATTCCCAGTTGAAATTCAGTAATACTCAGTTTTCAGTCAAAAATCGCGATCATAAATGGACGTGATAAACCAAAAAAGGTCACTAGTCCAATTTTAGCCACACTAGTTCAAATTATTTGGTTAGTTTCTTGGCCCCCGTCAAATTAAAAATTTAAACATTTTCAAAATTTTGGCCTACCGTCAGAATTGTCAAGACCAGCCTCTGCACACACACACACACACCCACACAGGCACACGTTTTTTTTATATTTAATAATCGTTAAGCAACTAAAAGTCAAATTCGTTGTTGAATGACATTATATTGGTATGAATGAACAACAACAAAATAGTTGAGTAAGTAAATAAGATAGATGTTGTATACATAGGTTGGTGGGTATAACTAGAGAAATAATAACTCGCAAAAATTACTCATCCATGGTGCATGTAATAATGATGCGAAGCCTTGTTTGCTTGTATGCAAAGACGTAATAAAGTACCTGCTTATGTATCTATAGTTTTATGCCACTATGGCTTGCGATGAGGAAGAAAAACGATGAGTGGAAAAAGTGTGATGAGAGAAGATGATATTGATAATGAAGGACCTTATGAGTTTGTGAATAAAAAAAAGGACGATGGTAATGAGAGGGTTTATTCAAGTGTATTTTTTCTTCTAAACATCTTCTGTCTGGTATGAATTTGAAATTGTTTTAATAAAACTCTTTAGACTCTATAGGGTGATAAAAAAAAAAATATCAGCGGAATGATTAATTAATGAATTAAGATACAAATGAATGAACAAACGAAAGAATGAATGAATCAATGAACGAAGAAATAATTAGATGAACGAATTTATGAATACTGACTATCTGCTATAAACACCATATACCGATTCGAGATGTCTAATTGTCCTAAAATTTCAAACATCACACACACACCAATAATAAAAATTGAAACAATAATCACGACAAAAATAATATCAAATAATATTATTAAAAATAATTAATTTTAATTACATAAATTGTAATAAAACCAGTTGATAAACAACAAAATGAGTGCACACAAATCCACACTACAGGCAGCAGATAACTGAAGTGGAAAAAAAAAGAAAAAGAAAAAAAATCATCTTCTTAACTCAATGAGCTTCAATCCTATCCTCATCCTATCGGCGTCCAAATTGATAACTTCAACTTCCACGCAATCATTCAGCAGGACTAAGGATCCAGGCTTATGAATCAGTGCATCTTTCCCGACGCCAATATCGACGAAGGCACCGAAATCAGTAACATTCGTAACCCTCCCGCACAATCTCTGACCCAAGAACAAACTTTTTATACTGAAAACCTCTTTCCTAAACAATGGTTTTGCATAGTTATCTCTTATGTCACTTTGGGTTGTTTGCAGCAGACTTTCCACTATCTGATTTATTGTTTCAACGTCGACGTTCATACTCTCTGCTAGGCTCTTTGAATTTTTGGCATCGATATATGATTGGAATCCGCTGATAAAATGTTCTTCCCCAATGTTGTTTGCATCAAGTCTGGCATCCAAGATGAGGTGCTCTGCAATGGCATACGATTCCGGATGGACTGATGTTCTATCCAGTGGATTCACGTCGGTGTTACTTTCTTTCTTGGCTGACTTTTTTCCTCCTGGTTTTTTTACTTCTTCCCCATTTTCTTCGTCGGAGGCCAATTTCCGTTTTCTACTCCTGTTTTTTAAAAGATTTCGTGGAGACTGTTGGTTCGATTGCACATATATTCTAAGGAAGCCTGCTAGCTGTTTAAATTTTTTTGGACCGAGGCCATCAACCAGCAAAATTTGTTTTCTGTTCGTAAATTGGCCTCCTAGTTCAAATCTTTTTTTGATAATGTTTTCTGCCAAACTTGGTCCAATGCCAGCAACGTGTTGAAGCAAATTGGATGAACACAGGTTGACATTGACCCCAACGAAACTAACACAATTCTCAACGACACCTTCAAGGGAACGCTTCAATTTCACTTCAGAAACATCATGCTGATACATGCCTACACCGAGGTTCTTGGGATCAATTTTGATCAACTCGGTCAGTGGGTCTTGAAGTCTCCTGGCAATTGAAACAGCCCCACGCATTGTAACATCCAGTGTGGGTAGCTCAGATGCGGCAAGGTCAGAAGCACTGTAAATGGATGCCCCCGATTCAGATGTTATGCAGAACATAACATTTAGTGGCTGAAATGAGCCGACTTTAATGTGATGAGATAGCAACGTTTCTGTCTCTCGGCAACCAACTCCATTCCCAACTGCAATCACCTCACATTTATGTTTCAGTAGCATATCTCCAATTAAATTCATTCCTACGACTTGAGCCTTGTGCTGTGCCACATGGAGGTATGCCACTCCAGTGTCCAAAACCTCACCATGTGCATTGATGATTGCAAATTTGCAGCCATGAGTGAAGCCAGGATCGAGGCCCATAATGACTTTGTTCATGACTGGAGGTGTAAGGAGGAGATTCTTTAGATTAGACGCAAACGAGTCGATAGATGCCTGGTCTGCTATCTTCTTTAATTTATTTTTTATCTGAATGCACATGCGAGGTTCAAGATGTTTGTCGTAGGCAAGTTGAATGCTCTCTTCTAACAACTGAAGCTGCTCATTATCAACGCTGAGTCTATCTGAGAGTTTGTACTTCTTCTTGCAGTGGCTTTTGTAGAACGTTTTTATGTAGTCAGGAATTTCTATGCTTAATTTTAAAATTTTTAAAGACTCTCCTCTTTTTAGGGCAAGAAATATAAATGGATATAGTTCTTTGATTGAATGTTTGAAGTCAAAATACTTTTCAAAATTGTAAAGATTAGCGTTTTCTGCCTGAGAGATATTTCCTGACTTCTTTGAAACAATCATTATCCTGTTGGATTCATTGCACCAGTTCTGAACCTTATCAACATTTTCAGAATCTTTTGATATGATGTCAGCTGCTAATGTCACTAATGACTGCTTAACTTCTTTTAACGATGAGATACCTTCTATTTTTTTATCAATTAATCTGCACAAATTGACATCTTCATTGTATAAAATTTTTAAAGCAACCGATTCCAAACCTAAATTTTTTGCTTTCTGGACTTTAGTGATTCGACTACCAGTTTTGAAAGGTTCAATGAATTTTTCAATGACATCGATATCAGTGGCTTCCAGAATAGACTCTTCAAGTCTTTTGTTTAGGTTTCCATTTTTTGAAAGCAGTTTCAAAGAGGATGAAATCTTATTTTCAACTTTCTTCAAATCCTCGATTTTCTCTTTAATCTGCCTTATTTTCTGAGCATCAAGGCAGCCTGTTAAGTTTTGCCTATACCTGGCAATGAATGGCACTGTATTATCTTCTTTTAACAGCTGCACTATGTTGGCAACTACTGGCTTCTCTACATGAACATCTTTTGCTATCTCATCAACGTAGTTCCATTTTAATGACATCTTTTTGGTCTTTGGCTGATAGATTCTAATCCTATTCTGATCCTATATAAATTTTAAATTGATAATTTCACTAATTTAAATTTAATAGACCTAAAATAAAACTTCAATAATTAATAGTACCAAATTGTATTTTAGTTTTATTAATTAACGATTAAACTATTATTAACAAAATAATTTAATAAATAAATAATAATGTGACATTAATTTACTTTATTATTTATTTATTAAGTGATCATATAAATAACAAAATTTATATAGTAAATTTAATAATATTAATAAGTAATAATGAAAATATGAAATTCACTAACTTCCAATTGTTAAAAGTTAAACTGTTCAGTTAAAGTTAAGCAAGTTGTATTTTTAGAGAGTGCCTTGAAAAAAACTTATTCTGCCTTAGTTAATTAGTTAGGTCCCTTTAGTTTAGAGTTTAGAAGAGGCTTAGTTAGATTAATTAAATTACACATTTATGTCTATTCCTTAAATTCACAATTTATATTTTCTTGAATTAATTCAAATTAAATTTTAAAACGATCGATGATATTTATCATAACATAAAGAAAAAATTAAATTATCAGATAATTTAATAATTTTTTCTTAATTTCGTAAAGTAAATTGTTTAAAAAATCAAATCAATCTCAATCAAACAATACAATCTGCCATTAAAATTACAATCAATTCGGTAATTTAATTTGGGACAGTAATTAAATCTTTTAGTTAGATTAAGAATTTAAAGATTCATTTAAGTTTGTAGTGAAAGTTGGCAACGTGAAGCAAGCATTTGAATGGAGCGCCAGATAGATTTTGAATTGATGCATTTGTATGGAACCATTGAATGCATGGGTGGTGTATTAATGTTGAATTTGGATAGCTTAATGGAACATATACGTAAAAGCAGCACATGATAATTACCCATTAGCAAAAAATATTTTGATTAACTTTTACCAGCACATGGTTAGTAGCGTATTGTGCTAACTGCCCCTTAGAAATATACCTACAAAGTAATAAACAATTAATAATGAATTGACTCGAAGGTGAAATTTCTTTCATCATCCTAATTATCATGAAATTATTAACTGAAAATTTATTCAAATAAACCACCCAAATAAACTCAGACCCAACTATTAATTAAACTTCTTTTATTATAACAAGTTTTTTTTTATAAAAGTTACTTGAAAATTATTCTCACAACACAATGTAATTTGTTTATAACTAGAAGATAAATTTTTTCGAAGAAAAATTTTTTTTTAGAGGCCTTTCTACGTGGAGAATTTTTGAATTTGAATTTATTTCATTAAAACGCAACAATATAAATTGAAACAACAACGGAGGGTACAAACATTATTATTTATATTAAAGTTGAGACATCTACGAGTTTGAGAACTACTGTGAAAACAATACAAGGACAGTATCAACAGAAAGTATGAGAATGACCTGTTAAATGTTGACATACAACACTAAACATCATCAAAGAATGAAAAATCATACATTGATAACAATTGGAAACAAGTTAGTAGGCTAACAAACTACATTTGTAGTTTGTTCATTCATTCAGTCGTTCGTTCATTCGTTTACTCAATGTTCATTCGATCATCAAAGATGTTAACTTTTAAAAAATCTCCTTCCAAGTGACCTCCAGTATTTTCTCAACTTTCCGAATTTTCCGCCATTTTTCTTCTTACCACTTCTATCATTATCATCACCTCCATTTGCTGCTGCATCATTATCATCACCGCCAATAGCAACGGCATCGTTATCATCACCACCTTGTTGAACATCATTTGCAACTGCACCATCAACATTATCACCATCATCACCACCATGTTGCGTATCGTTATCAGCACCGTAATCATGTAATTCGACACAATCTTTAGTCTGGTCGTAGACACCATTATTATTGTTGTTGTTGTTATTATTATTATTATTGTTGTTGTTTTTATTAAGGTTGTTATCATCAACATCATTAATGTCTTCCTCATCATCATCATCACCACCGCTGACTTTCACATCATCATTACCATCACCACAGTCAGCGGGGAAAGCATATCCGTCGTCGTCGTCCCACATATTGGGGTCAATTTTCCCGCCAATATTATTCCCGCCAAAAATGTCATTCATTTTCTCGCCAAAACGACTGTTGCTGGCTGTTGCAATGCAGCCAATGGGGTTAAGGTATTCGCCATCATTATCATCATTTGATTTCCCGCCATGAACTTTAACCCCGCTCAGTATGTCGTAGTGATTGTTGTTGTTGTTGTTGTTTAGCCATGTTAGACTACGTTCGTTGTTGATGTTGTTGATGTTGTTGTTGATGTTGTTATGGTGATGTTGTTGTTGATGCTGTTGTTGATGCTGTTGTTGATGCTGTTGATGTTGTTGTTGTTCAGACTCACAGCATTCTGGTCGCGAAATCTACGGAATTCCTCGCACTTATCATTCAGAACGGGAATCTCCAATCCGTCGGTCATGTTCTTATCATCATCTTCGTCGTCGTCATCACTGACGTCATACAAATCGTAAACATCGTCATAATCAACATCACAGACGTTATCATCATCGTCTAATGAAGAGAGCTTACTCTGGTTGACGAATTCGTCATAACCGTCATAGTAATCATCATAGTAATCCATATTGTCATTTTCAGAATTTTCGTTGTTGTTGCCGACGCCATCTTGGTCGCCATCTTGGTCGCCATCTTGGTCGCCATCTTGGTCGCCATCTTGGTCGCCATCTTGGTCGCCATCTTGGTCGCCATCTTGGTCGCCATCTTGGTCGCCATCTTGGTCGCCATCTTAGTCGCCATTTTTGTTGTTTCTATGGTAGTTTAGTTTGATGGCAGGTCGCTGGAGGTGGCATTGTAAGCTTCTCAGTTCACCATCCATCAGCAATTTTACAGTGGCGAGTCAGAGGAGTTCGTGGATTCTGTGGAGGATTTTGAAAAATAGAATTGTTTTCATTTTTTATGTTTGCAACTTTTCGATGTGTGTATGAATTGTTAAGTTTTATATTTTATTTTAAAACGTTATGATATCCATTTTCTTTTGGCTAAATGTTCTTTTGCTTTGTATGTAAATTCACTTTTAGTTGTTCCGGTTGATAATAAACGAGTGAAAAAACGTTTCTAAATTTATTTTTTCAGTTTTATCTTTCTAGTTTTTTTTTGTATGTATCCAACTTTTGGGTGTGTGTGTATGAATGTATGTAGGTATGTATGTATTGAATTGATATGCGCATGATTCTATGTGTCTGAATGTAGAAGTAGTAGCTATAATTTTCTATTTCATCTCTAAATAGTTCTCCGACAATTATCTAACGGGGAATTCAATAAATAAAAAATTATCCAAACCTTTCAGATAGTAAAACATTCCAGACTCTTATCACAAATCTCTCTTCTCCAATATTATTCTCGTCGTAGCTGACGTTGTCAAAGATGACACTGAAGTCATAACGAGGGTGGAACGTGTGTCTCGCTACTTGGCTCCTGTGCGTCATGATGATTGGTTGGTTCGTTTTTTCATTACAAATTTTTGGGTTCATTTTTTTGCCAAAATTGTTACTAAATATTTTTGAAAAATAAATATGAATAAATAATTATAAGATAATTATTGCATTTGTTAATTATTTTCGATAAGGTCATAATTTAAATATTTTAATTCATTCGCATCCACACCCCATGAATACTTCAAAACACCGCAATGTATAATATTTTTTCATTTAACAATTTTCAAATCTTCTGAGCAGCCTATGCATTCTCTTGAAACATAAATGTTAAATTTTGTGGCCATATTTATATGGCAAAATAAATGGAAAAAGTTGCAGTTAGCAGAGTAGATAGTGGCAGGGGAGAAGTTTTTGGGACTGAACCCGTGAAAGAAATGACTAACTCAGTTTTATTTATTTGTTCGTTCGTTCGTTCATTCACTCACTCATTCACTCATTTTTTCATTCATTCATTTATTCATTCGTTCGCTCATTCGTTCGTTCGTTCATTTATTTATTTATTTATTCGTTTATTTTTTACAATTCTCTCAGAGATTTTAACAGCAAACAGAGGTTGCACGAACACAACTTTCAAAGTTATTCATATCGGTGGCGAATTAAGTTCATTGAATTAAAATTCTCGCCAGATTTTAATTAAAGATAATAAAAGAACAATAATAAACATAAAAACGTTAAACTAATATATCCAAATTATTTTATAATGCATTTATTTTAAATAATTTTTCAATTATTCAAATAATTTTTATTAATAAATTTAACTTTTTAAAAAGTTTTTTGAAATTTGACATAAAGTATGCCTAGTTCCACTGCGGTGCTAACTGATTAACCTCAGACCTGGGACGATTCGAGTCGTCTCGGGTTTGACTTTAATATTTAATTGGTTGGCACTAATTCGCAATTTCAAGTTATAACGCGTATTCGATTAAGACAATAACTTTTTAATTTAATTGAGAAATGTTTTAAAACTTTTAATCGGCGGTAAAAAAAATTTGGTTCGCGAAGATCATTCATGTTGCGCGACGCCCGTGGCTTTTGGCAGTGAGAAAAAAAAACCTCAGAATAACCACTGAGTTGTACATTGTTTAATTGGCCCTTATTTCATTGCACAGCCACCAAACAATGTGTGCTTGTAACTGTACATACAACCGACAAACAACGAAGAACCGGCATTAAACAGCCTGTGAGATGTTGCCCATGTTGACGATAAGTGCCTACCAACTTGCACCCAAGGAACCTAACACTCTTGACAAGAACTACTACGCCGTCTGTCGGCGGTCCAATCCACGAAGTGTTTGTCATGTTTTCATGCCTTTTGTTGACAGCTAAGATTTTAATTTGTAGTTATTTTAAATTTTATTCTAACTTTTTCAACGCTAAATCAATTAATAAAGTTAATTACCTAAGATGCATTAAAATTACATGGAGAGTGTGACAGCCTTGTGGCTAGGGTCGTCTGGTTGACAAGAAGATGCCCGCCTGACATGCTTCGGGTGTGATGCGTCGCTTAGCATGTATTCACATACACGATGTTCGTGTGCTGCTGATTCTTCTGAACAGAGGAAGAATGTGATAGAGCTTTGACCTTTTTCATGTATTGACATACACATTCCCTTTGACATGCACTGTTTTAAAGGTCAAAGGTCTATCACACTTTCCATGTAATTTTAATGCATCTTAGGTAATTAACTTTATTAATTGATTTAGCGTTGAAGCAGTGCATGTGCGGCAGAAACTCACAGGAACACTGTTCTGGAAGATCCGATCATGTGACTGTCTGCCAGTAAACTGTTTACGGTCTTTCCTGCTGTTCCAATAATGATAATATTACATTTGCTTTTTATTTTTGCTTAAATTAATTAATTAGTTAATTAATTAAAAAAAACTTTTTACAATTTAAACAAACAGTCAAGTTAATAAAAAACCAATTATTCATTATTTCGCAGAAGGTCCACAGTAACAAACACTTGAATCAACGCATTCCACCCAGTTGCACATGACCAGCGGGATCTCTGCTTGGATTCGAACCCGGTAAATGCAACAGAAAAACCAGGCACCTTAACATCATGGTAGACATGTTTGCCACAAAAAAAAAAAATTTTACAAACACACACACGCACACAAACACACACACCAACTAACCTACAAGGCATACCTACAGACTCCTTTAAAAAGTATTTCTCTGTCTCAGTTTCGACAGATTCGTTTTTTAACCGTTTTGCTTCTTTCGTATGTTCGCACTGGCTTATATACATACAT